AAAATGAATGAATTGCGGAAATGTTCTAAATGTATGTTCCCAAGGCGAATGAGTACCGATACATATGACGATAGAATCTTATAGTAATTTGCTGTGTTGGTGATCCTAATCAGCGAAAAAGTGTATGAGCGTTACCATACAAGCAATTATAATACCATAGAAGAGTAGCAAGGTTAGGTGAGTCAGAGATTATAATAAAGTTAACAAAAAACGCTCACTGACTGGTCGAGACAACGAGAGATGAACTTCGAGTAGCGATACATGATCATGATGTGTACGAGAACTCCTTGCTGGATTGAAGGACAAGAGATGTATGAGAGGTTTCTAGGGAGAAGTCCAACACGAATGGATCTGCATAACGCAAAGTGTACAGAACAGAGTTGGCCTTCGCCGGTGTACGTCTTTTGTGCTCTGATGATGTCATTTTGTTAGCATCACTGCGATCAAATCGAACGAAACGGCCAACGTGAGGACTTATAGAAAGTTACGGACACGCCATTAAGATTCGATGTCTATAGTCAACGCGCGGACCCGCACATCACTGCCCGACATTCTTCTGAGCATAATCTGTGTGAGGTCTTTTCTTTTTCAGTATTAAATATCAACCATGTGATGATGCATAGGAATACTGCAAATTGCTGCATTTTGCGGAGAGCAGAGGCACAAGGAGTCCAATAGGAACAATATCATCTGCGAAACAAAAACCCACACCAGCAACATCCATCGTCACAACAGCCACACCAGAGAGAGACAACATCATTCAACCAACTATCCATATATACAGCCAAAGAGGAAAGGAGAAAGAACACCACCTTGACGAACCCCATAGACACTGAAGCTTCTAGAGCGACACGTCATGATTCCCTGGACCTCATCCTCTGCATACTGTACCACTGGAGTAGACAAATTCAGGATTGCAAGTGGAAAACCTCTCTCCTTCTCTAGATTCTGAAAAGAAGTCCGTGATCTACTCTATCAAATGCTTTGCTCGCATCTAAGAAGCAGCCTAAGACATTGGAACCAGTATTTATATATAACGAGAAACAACAGATTTCATGAGGGCTGAGCACAGGTGTAGATGAGCCAGCCTTGAAACCAACTGCAAGTGACTACTCTGAAGAAGAGTTCCATAGTTGAGAAATGAATGACATGTTCAATCACATCAGTTTGCTTAAGTAGAAGCAAATGTATCGGGCGATAATTGGTACTGCTTGTTGGATCCTTCCCCGCTTAGGGACGGGAACGATAACACAATCCCGATGCACTGTGGCAGGTTAGCCATGCCTAAAACAAGCTGTGAGATTGGGGAGTACGGGTGGGGCGTTATAGGAACAAGGGGACCAACTCTCTCTGGTCCCTGTCGATGACAGGGCCAGCATCGCTTAAATTTTCAGAGAGACCAGGTTATTATCTGATTTACCATTATTTAGGTTAGAAATAGCTTAAAGTACGCCGTCGCTACAACCACCTTGATATCCTGAGCTGAGCAGTTGAGATTGAGATGCTGATCTGATGCGACATGGAGTTTCGAAGAGTAGGAGAATGAGTATTCATAGGTTGTGCATATTAGAAGCAAACATATCTGCAATCTCCAAAGGATCGAACAACCATCAACACAGCTGCTCGTGGAGTAGTTTGGGGTGACTCAGTTGCCTAACAGGCTGAACCAAAAACCGTTTTTTTCCCTGTCCGCATAGTTTTGGCAAGTGTTTTCTCAACAGGCCGATGTTGTTTACGCTTAAAAGGTTCCAAACGATTGTGCGTGGGCGTATGTTTCAGATATTTTTTTCAATAGCACAGCTAAAACGCTCGTGATTTATAGTGAATTTAAGTATATTTCTCGGTGTTTCCTACTTTGTTTTCCAAACTTATTAGCCTATTCATATTCCTCCTCCATACATTCTCTATGGAGAGAAACTCGTGCGCCCGCACTCCATCCCAGAGGCGAACGGTCCGTCTCCATTATGCGCAGTGGCTTTCTTTGCCTGCTACGGTACGCGGGGAGTTAATTTTGCCCGCATTCCACCAAGCTTTCTCATAATGTTGCTACAAAATTAATGTGTGTCCTTACAAATATTGTTGGCGAATTTGAATGCGTAGTTACAAAGTTCCGTGAATTACATAATATAGATCTCTATTGACCTAATATAAACATTCTCACTGCTTTCATCTTCATCAGTGCACAGCCTCATCTCAATGTCGTTACTGGTTGGAGGAGAGATTACTTTCCTGAACCATGGAGGATAGTTCCAGGAACAACATGTGTTGAACGGACCACATCCAGCACCATCCCAGAGAGGATCGTCTCCATAGAAGAGGTTATGGACTTCATTTTCACACCCAGTGTCACAAAAGTAGTCATGACCAATAAACCTAGGTACTGCTGGCTGTGAAGTGTGGCGAATATTAGTACATGGGCATGTATACGTTGAGCGATCATTATCATAATATTCATGAAGTGCTGCAGCAAATGTACATATTTGATTGCGAGGTGTTCCATGTGTTAAACTGACACCATCGACATAAACGGCATTGATCTCATTATCAAAAGCATCCACAGTGTTCTGCTGGTAGCTACCCAATAATTTTACCACACACTTGAGAGTACTCTACTGGGAACACAGTTGAGGAACATCCAGAGCCAGTAGTGGTTTTAGCGCACATCCTTTGAGGACTGGTGAGGGTCCTCAGACCAGATGGACAGGTACATACTGCCAGTTTTAGTCATGTAGATAGAGGCCACCCTCATCCAGCCTCCAGCTACACCTTTGCAGTTTCTCTCCATGTCACAGTACATGTGTTTGGGCTTGTTGTCAGTTCCACTGATCCAGTAGAGACCCGAGGGAGACTGTGGGGCCAGCTGGAGGATCTCCTTGCAGGAACAGGCAGGGTGACTAGGTGTATGGCCAGGGACAAGCAGGAGGGAGACCTTTGATAGCAGATTATTCGTAGCAGATTTTATAATCTTTATTTCAGCTAGGTCGGTGGTGTTTGGAGGGCAACCAGAAACATTAGGGAGATTTGAGGTACCAACACAGACTGCTGCATAATGAACCAGCAATATGGTGGTGACGGCAGTATAGGTAGTCATTATGCAGCTACTTCAAAACATTGGCTGTGTAGTCACAATTGGCAGGGATTATAGCTGATTTATACAGGCACAGAGCTGATCATGATAAGACTGCCATCACCCACTTTGGCTAATGCTCCTTACGGCATCTGTACACTTCCACCCATAAGCGAAATGTACTGGGTCCCACTTGAACAGAACACAGCCCTATGTCTGACCATGATAATAATTAGCATTCTCTACCCCCCACTTTTTCATGTCTTGTGTTGTATTTTCGAACCCCTACTGAGCTACCTGCTGAGTTGCCCTGGTAACTCAGTTGATACAGCACCCCACAGCCCTTTTTCTATTGAAATAAGTGTCCTGTATAGAGTAATGTACTTAGTTAGCCGTTGCCCATTGTTGATACACTAGCATCAGATTGTCATGAAACACTCAGCACTTTCATGTCATTTTGCTTAGCAAAAATATGGGCACTTTAAGTTTTTACAATATCAACACATGGTTCAGAAGTTGTTCCCCACCATTTTTCAGGGTTAACAATTAATTGTCACACTATAGTATGGATAGTATTACTCAATCCCAAATTAATTTTAATGAACCATGTCTTCTAAAGTCCACTATCAAACTTTCTAGATTTGCCGAAATGTACCTTTTCTCAAAGAAAAACATTTTTTAGAAAGAAGAACCGGAAATTTAAATTGAGACACTGTTCCTATGGAAGTGGCCTTACCCTGGGTTCAGCTGCCACAGTTCATTGAAGTGGGAAGGGGAGTTTCTATGGCGACACCCCAGGAGGTACACAGCACAGAGCCTCAGTGACTGACCATGATATTATCTGCCTCTGCCCTCCTTTGGCTGAACGTTATCTCTGCAAGTTGGAAGGGAAGTTTCTATTGTGACAACCCCCCTGCAGCTCAGAGCCTTTGTGTCTGACGATGATAGGACTGGTATTTTCTGCCTCGGCCCCCCTCTGTCTCAAAGTTATCCCAGCAAGATGGACAAGGGTAGTTACTATTGTGACACCCCCTAGAAGGGTGAAACACAGCTCAGCGCCTTAGTGTCTGACCACGATAGGGCTGACATTCTCTACCCCCACTTGGGCTCAATTTATCCTTGCAAGTTGGACAAGGGTATAGTTACTATTATGACACCCCTTGTGAAACACAGCTCATGCAGAGCCTTAGTGCATGTCTGACCATGATGGGACTGGTATTCACTGCCTGCATGACTAGGTGAAAGCAAAAATTGTGCATATGTGAGATTGATGCTCTAAAAGACACGCTTAGCTACATTGTGGGTTCTTGTTGCGTTACAGACTCTCTGCTTCCTAATTCTGACCATGATAAAAAAAAGTTGCATCCCCCACTCTAGCTCTGATGTCATCAGCACAAACTTCCACCCACAGTTTATACAAGTGGAAATGACAGTGAAGAGTTCGTTTGCTGCATGTTGTTGATAGTCCCAGATAGTGATTATCATGCTTTTCATTAACTGGCTATATTATAACTATGAGTCAAAGGAGAAAATCTGTCTTCAATATTACAGTTTTCAACCATCCACACACATAATTATGTGTACACCTGAAACAAGGCATTTGGCTTTATGACTCCACGTGGGCCAGTGGGGTATTTAGCTAAATCTGAGAGTGTCAGTCATTCTAGACTTTCACACAGACCAAAAAGTTTTGCCCCACATATGACTATATATGGCATTATTTTGTGGGAAAAGCTGGGTACGTATCGTGTTTTCCTCAGGAGATCAACTGGGATATTGGTGACAACTAGCTATGCGGCTAGTCAGTCTCTTGGCTAGATGATGGCGAAGATGAAGAGACGTGCAGCGAGAGAGTCTGTGTGAGAGTAACAGGAGTCCTCTGGAGGAGGGAGAGGGTGTGTCTCTGGGGCAGACTGAGCAGAGCCACCAACTCCTGTCGTAGAACCTCCAGCGGTGGCAGTTTCGCAATCTCCTCCAACCCTCGAGGGGTAAACAGCTGGTCCAATACCTTCCCTCCCAGTACGCACAGCCGCGGCTCCGACTTGATACACGACAGCAAACTACTAGTCTGGTCCAAGTTTCCGTACACTAAGGCCGTGCTCCCCTTGAAGAGAGGAGCGAGGTTCTGGCATGGAGTATCGTCCAGTGCCCGGGTGGCTATCTTGGTAGGGATGACCTGTGCCTCGTTCCCACTCTGAGCCAGTTTGAGTCTCAGACTGCTCCAGGCCTTGGTGTCCAGGTCTCCAAAGTGGACGACGGCCACCGTCTCGTGGGATAAGATGTCGCGCACATCGGAGGCTATCTTTTTCTTGAGAGGGTTGACCTGGAGAGAATACACAATGGGTGAAACATAAGAGAAAGTGGTGTGAAGAAACGTACTTTGGTTGCATCTCGTCTCTTCCTGGGCTTAGTTTTGAAGCAGCTTCGGGCATAGGTTCGCGTGGGTAGCCTCAGCAAAGAGCACGCACAGTGAAAACCTGCGGCCACAGACAACATCGCTAGCTAGCTAGAATGCCCTTTGAACTTTTACACGTGTGGCAAGGAGGCGGAGCTTCTGAGTACGAGACTAGACGAGGTCGACTCGGGACGCATCTTGGGGTCGAAGCTGTGAGAAAAGATGAGCGCTGCCGAGCTGAGCGACATTATACAACACTTTGAGGTGACTACCCACCCCGTAGCTTCGTCCCATGATGCTCTAGTAAGCTTACTCTCTCTACTACAGACAGAGAGTGGTAGTGATCTACCGACTGCAGTGAGGTACCTGACGTCTGACGTGGCCATTGCTAGAACCATACGCACATGTCTCTCCCTCCAGATACAGCCAGCAGAAGTTAGTATGTAAATAGCTAGTGTGTGGGGAGAGAGGGGTTAAAAAGGTTGTGAAAGACTACACTGACTGGTGCTCAGAAAGGCACATGTTGCAACAAGTGTAGGGATTTTAGAATTGACATTGTTTGTTTTGCTTTAATTAACCCTCGGCGTGCATGCACAGCGGGGTTACAGTAGTTGGGTTGTCTGTCTGTCGGTTACTCAACATCTCACTTCTAGAATGTTTTTTCTTTTCACAAACGATACTACCTACTTAACGGGCAATGAAGGTCAGAAATTTTGTGGCGATTTTTCCTGAAACCTCTGCCGTGCCGAAAAAGTAAATATGCATAATCTCACTAGGGGCTGATCTGCTCGCTCTGTGTACCTTGGGGGGTCAGGAAGTCACAACGAATAGCATGTATCGACTCCCGCATGCTATCTACTTACTGTAGCTAGCCAGTGTCAGGCTCTCCACGAGCTACTAGCAGGAGATCACGACTCCACGAGTAAACGCATGCAAATAGCCCAGCCCATCATTAGCAGTATCAGTATCGCGCATGTGCAGTTCGCCGAGGGTTTGTAGGCTATTCATTGCCTCTGCAGGCAGGCGAGTTTGCATGATATATGTACATATCGTGACGGAATAACCCTCCTCCAGTCTTCAAATCCCCCATTCCTGCCAAAACATTCTCTAAACTTGCATGACTATCTGCCATTTCTTTTCCCACTCACTGTATCTGCTGCAGTTTGACCCCTCACTATTCCAGTGGCTCTACAGCTGTGTCCAGCAGAAGAAGAAGAGTGGAGATCTCTATAACTTTGTGGTCCAGTTCTCACTCGACATTATACTGGTCTACTTTTATGCAGTCTATGAAAACCAACCCGAGGTCAGTTTGTATGTACAATGTGTCTTCAACATGAATGAGGTTCAAGCAAAGTAAAGACAAAACATCACAACTTCACCTGGTTTTTCGAGGGAGAAAAGACCTGCCCTGGGTGGGATTCGAACCCACAACACTGCTTTCTACGTGAACACTCTACCAACTGAGCTACATACCAGTGAAACTCAGCAGGTAGCTGTAGGGGTTCAAATCTACAACACAATACAACACAGTATCCATACTGGATATACACACTGCCTGCACAGTGAAAACTCTGGACTCTTTCAAACTTGATGCTATAGAAGTGTGTCAAAGGTTGGTGTTTCGATAACACTCAAAGAAGTCCATGTTTGTTAATACTGATTTGTGCCAATTGCACACAGTGTTGGGCGTAGCTCCATGTACCTTTTTTCTCTCTCTCCAGCTGAAGGCCAGTTCCGAGGCACTGCTGATGGTGATCATTGCAGAGGTTAGTGCTCTATTGCATCTCTGTGTGATTTCTAGCAATCTCTAATACACTATTCGCAGGCTGAGAAGGATCCATCTCCTCCTGTTCAGATCCACCCCATGTCAAAACAGTCTGTCTACCACGCTGTGAGGAAATGTCCCTCCACTGTGCACTTTTCATGCCGTAATAACTGAACACAGCTAGCAAACATAAGTAATCCTGATTAATGCACCACTGAATAAAATAATGGGAAAAGCAATTTACAATGTTGCAAAACACATTGAATGTATAGGTGTGCAAAGCGCCATCATTTTGCCGCACTCCTTGCCACACCACAGGTTCATTCTAGCGTTAGTGTAACACAGTGAACCTCTGATAAGGGACCCTCCGAGATAGGGACGACCTCTCTACAAAGGACACTTTTCAACCCCATGCTAATCCTCTTAGTGTTTATTGACCTCCGAGATAGGGACGACACCTCTCTACAACAGACAAAATAGTTTGGCCCCATGGTTCCCTTGTTCAGGGTTCCACTGTATGTAATAGATTGATAGACACAGAAAGAGGGTAAGGGAAAGAAGGTGGTATATTAAGTAGAAAGGAAGGGATCCAGAATGAGAGAGAGAGGTGTGTGTGTGTGTGTGTGTGTTGTGGTCTGTTCTGCAGTCTCCCCCAGAGTGTGGTGTCCCAGCAGGCAGTCCTGACAGAGGCCATGCTCCAGAGACACAATGAGACAGAGTACTCTGCCCTCAGACCTTCCTTCGCTGGGAAACCCATCACCGTCAACAACAGGTAGCCTCCTGTAATTGGCCTCGGTTTTACACCGACATTGATTATAGCTGGGGAATGAACTTCTTGTGTAGGTATGCTTTTCTTCATTGTCTGTGTGCAAGGTCTAGGCACGAGGCTAAAGCCAAGTCTGGTCTGTATTCCCTCATAACAGTGGGTTGCTACTGGGTATGTATGTGGTATGACGGTGTGCATTGAAAACAAACCTAAGTACATGACAAGGAATATCTCGAGCCAAGTGTAGACATAAATCAAACTATGTATTGCTATCCACAATACCCTCCCTCCCAGCAAAGCTGAGGATACACTGCTAGTCTAGTCCAAGGATATTTCAGGTTGTTTTCCTCAGTGGTGTGAAACTCGCAGCATGCTGGCTATGAAACAGTGGACCCGTTTGTGTCCTGCATTGTGAGCGCACGGGTAGCAGGTTCGAACCCAACCTCTGCCCCCTTTTGCTTTTTATTTTCCCCACTTTTCCACCTTACTAATTATTCATTACGGCCAGTATTGTGGCCCGTCGCGAGCAACGGGTCAAGAGAGACATACATGCACTGCTCTCTCTCACCTGTGTTTACCCCTTATCAAGCCAACGGGAATACATGCCCAGAGCCTCCATAAGTCCATAAGAATTTATATATGACTATAATACTAGGTGTTAATATGCTACATATACATCAATTTCTGCTTATTTACGGAGATACCCGTGGCGCCCAAAGAGAGAGGCATACATGCACTGTATTACTTGCTCTCTCTCTCTCTCACCTGTGTTGGTACAATACAGACTGAGTTTCCTGTCCTCCGTGGTGGCAGTGTTCAGTGACAGACTAATGCTGTGCCCTGCTGCCTCCAAGATTGCCTTCTGTAACGGATGTGTCAGGTATACACTGTTACACACTGGCACAATATTTCTACTAGCTATTATATGCATTTGAATGCACTCTTAACTGTAGGATTGTTTAAGATGGGGTGTGCCTATGCTGCTCGGTGTTCTAGTAGCATAATGTAATTATACATCAAAGCAACTCTAGTACCATGTTTTTGGTCATTTATCATCGTGCTGTGAAGCATTGAGAATGCACTTTGCCTTTCCACTCCCCTACAAAACACCTGCATCTAATAACACCATGCATAATGCCACGGAGCGAAACAATCAAAAATGCATTCTCAACACAGAAAGTGTTTTACAGACACATGCGGTGTTTCTGTGTATCGCACTGCAGGTTGTCAATGCAGGGAGCAGACATCCTGTGTGGTCTGGAGGAGGTGGTGGGCCACTCTGTGTCTCCGGTCACAGTCAGAGATCTTGAGGCCCTGGGGGAGGGGAGGAGGTATAGTGTGAGTGACGAGCTCCTCTCTGCTTTCCTGCACGGAGTCCGCATGTGTCTGTAAGTGTGCACGGAGTCTGCATGTGTCTGTAAGTGTGCACGGGGTCTGCATGTGTCTGTAAGTGTGCACGGAGTCCGCACGTGTCTGTAAGTGTGCACAGAGTCAGCATGTGTCTGTAAGTGTGCAGACTCAGTGGGTAGCTTTTGCTGGATTCCAAATCACACTACTTATGCAAGGAATGTGGCAGTGCATAAGAGCTAACTAGAAATATCACTAACGATGTACACATAACTAACAATATGGCCCAGGGCAAAAACTCTGAATTACATTTTCGGTAACACTTCCACAATTTAGCCTTTTAGTGATAGGTGTAGTTTTTGTCGTCGAGTGGAGATTTTAGCACTCTCTGTACTGCAGGTTTCACTCTTGTCATGAGGCTGCACTGCAAGCACTCTACTGTCTCAAGGCTAGAGCAGAGTATGAGCTGCTCCCTGGATCAATGCAGGTTACACACACAGCAACTCACTACGAACACAAACTCAAATGTTGCCCCTCTTTCTCTCAAATTAATCCATCACAGGTGTCTGGTGCACTGATAAGACTGTCTCAGAATGTCAAGCCAACTCCTCTAGACCTTGACATGGACAAGTATTCTACTTATACTGACAACGGTAAGTGGACACAAAGGGCCATCGTCATAATGCCAGTGTCTTGTGTAATGTGACTATTTCTCAATGGCAGGGAAGCTACAGGATCCAACGGAACTTCACACACTGCTACAGGGACACATCTTGAAGTTGAAACAGAGAAGGGTCCTCCGTGGCCCCCAGGACTCTTTTGCTGATCACTCTGCTGATTCTGTCTAGTCTGTGATTTTTTACGGACATGCGCAATGAGCACAGGTCGTAGAGGCGTGGCTCGAGCTCGGAGGTAATGGTGCGCTCCAAATAGGTTGTCTCTGCTGTTGGGGGCGCGCAGGAGGGCATAGCTCGCCATCATGGGGAACGTGTTGGGTAAAGCCATTGCCGTGGACTTCCTCATCCAGTGGGGCATGTTCCTGCTTGCCGCCTACATGAAGACGGAGAAGTTTTTCGACGCGACTGGCTCGGCGACGTTCGTGATTCTGATGCTGCAGTCGCTGCTGCACGCAAGGAGGTTCTTCCCGCGGCAGGTGATACAGTCCGGGATGGTGGCTACGTGGGCCACGAGGCTGGGCCTGTTTCTGCTGACTCGAGTGTTGCGGGACGGCCGTGACAGCAGGTTCAACCGAGTTCGCAACAACCCTCGGACCTTCTTCCTCTACTGGACTGTGCAAGGTCATTTTACAATGCTCATGCACATGCAATTGTGCTGAGCTTGTTACATAATAGACACACTATTCCAAAGAAATTTGTCAGCATAAGGTTATGTCACAATGCCAACCTACTCAGAAGGTCCTTGTGATATGGGGTGATACGGAGACTTAATAGTCACCTTACATCATCACCTCGTGGTGCAGCGTGGTTGTTTCGTGTTCTCTTCCTCAGGTGTGTGGGTGTGGCTGACGGCCCTCCCGACACTCATCCTCAACTCCAAGACGGAGGACAGGGAGATTGGGACACGGGACTACATTGGCTGGACCATGTGGCTGGTGGGCATGTTGATTGAGGCCGTCGCCGACTACCAGAAGTATACGTTCCGTAGCAACCCAGCCAACAGGTCAGTTTTTTCCTGGAGTAAGAATAGTGTCAGGTTTATTCAAGCATTGTTTAGCGAGTGATTGATGCATTCCGCTTCTGCATTGTTACAGTGCTTTAGGTATATACTAGTCTTCTTTTCCATTCTAGCTGCCCTTTTACATATATCTCCGCAGTTTGCATAGAACAGTTAGGAATACACAGACGTCTCAATAATTAGAATCAGTTTAACTGCCCAGTTAGCTATCGAGGCTAGTCATCTACGTACCTACTAGTTACCAGGATGTTTCCTGAAGATTGTTGTTTAGTGGTAAAAGAGATTGGTTTTATTTTTCCATTTTTTTTGCTAAACGAATAATTTATACATGAAACCAATTCAATTTGTGTCATTCGGCTTATGATTTTTGCAAGGATATATATAGTTCTGTTTTGTGTGTGATTCGGCAGGCATTACGGTTATGGTAACACGTCATAATATTCTACAGGGACAAGTGGATTGACTGCGGGCTGTGGAGCATTGTTCGCCACCCAAACTACCTCGGAGAGATCCTGCTCTGGACGGGGCTGTTCATCTCGGCCTCGTCCACCTTCAGAGCGGCCGACTATCTGAGTTCTCTCTCCCCCATATTTGTGGCCCTCCTCCTGACCAAGATCTCCGGGATACCCATCCTGGAGAGACAGAACTTGAAGAGGTGGAGGAGCGACCAGGGCTTCATGGACTACATGCAGAGAACCTCAAGACTCCTTCCTTACGTTTACTAGACTCTAACACTGTGTGACGTTGTTGACCAAATTTGTTGAGATTGAATGCTAATGCGCATGCGCAGCTTTAGACCGCGCCCCATTGAGGCCCTGTGGCTCCACACACGTGTATGCTATTATACAACGGACTATAGTTTTGTGGACAAGGACCGTGCACTCGCGGGAGTAGTAGAGGTGAGTGACAAGCACTTATCTACTTTGTTGTAAAGCATGGATTCCAGTAGTCCTAGTGATCATGTATTGTTGCTATCAGTGTATTCCTTGGGAGAAGAGATGGAAGAGACGTTGCAGAGTCTCCAGTTCGAGAACGGTCAGCTGAGAACGGAGCTGAAGGCCCAGCAGGCGGCCAACATGAAACTGAGGAGAGAGAAAGACGACGTCTTGCTTGCTCTCCGGCAATGCAAGGACGAGAACAGGTTCTCTGTCATTACTAGTAATACTCTCCTAGGGGTCTTTGGTATAGAATAGCTTGTTTACTACTAACACAGAGATGGGAGCGAGATGGATTGTAAATTCATTACTCATCAAGCCCAGGGTGCATTATACATTGGCTGAATTTTCCGACCATTCATCTGTGCACATAATGATGCAGTTATTCTGTTAGCTCAGTAAATGTTCAGCATGGGTGCACATTATAGAGGAAGATATAGATCAAGAAATAGTTGGGCGTTCTATTTCTAACAGTCACATTTCACCCAATGTCTGTGTACTACCGCAGAGTCCTGTATGAGGAGCTGGAACTGCGAGACCAGATGTTCTCGGAGTTCAGAGAGAAGAGGGAGAGGGAGATTGCCGAGCTGGCGGCCATCAAGAGTGACCTGGAGCTGAGGCTGCAGAGGGCAGGGGAGGAGGGAGATCAGGGAGACACTCCTGGTGGCCATCTTGTCGGTAAGACTGCTGGGCTCTTTCAATTGTTTTTAATGCGTGTGAAAATTAGAGGTCGATGTTGTATACATAAACCAGGCTACACTTTACACCATCTTTCCGTCATGTTTTTAGAATGATAACAGTGGTATTGTACATGCACAGTTTGGGAAGCTATTGCTCTTCAGTTGAGTGAACTACTTATTCTGTTTATCTGAGTGATTTGAGTGAGCAGCTACTTGGTTCCTCAATCATGTGGGGTTGAATTCCCAAGCCATGTTTCTCTGTATGAGGTCATGCTGGATCAATGCTCAGTGTCGGTGAAGGATTGCTTATCGGAGGGTTCTTCGGAATTTAATTTTCTGGGAAATTACTAGTGGTTCTTAGTAGGAGAGTAGTTTTTGAGTTTCTGGAGTTGGTTAGAAATGTATTGTGCAGTCTGGGTCGAGGAAGGGTTTTGTAAGGAAACTGGAAATGATGTTTACTGTTTGTTTTGTTGTGTGTTTCATGTGTGTGTTTGCTGTTTGTTTGTTGTGTGTGTTGTATTATGTATCAGGAGGAGGGGTGGAGTCTCCGGGTGATTTACGGTTCGTTGGGTCGGGGTTTCCCCAGCTGAATGCCCGGGAGGTGGTGGAGGCTCTGGGGAAGTGGGAGGGGATGGAGGACACCATTTCTCTCTTCGCTGACCTCGTCAAAGAAAACAGTACGTATGTAAACATTCATCACATACTACGTGTAAGTAAACTTTTTTACAATTTGGTTGGTTCTCATATAAGACTAAGTTTTGAGTCACGAAATCTGTTGGTCAGCATTTTCATTGTTCTTAGCTTGTAACCCATGTTGATAACCTGTTTTTCGTATTGCATTGAGTAACCAACAACAAATTTCGTGACTCAAAACTTAGTCTTATATGAAGTAACAAGGTACAATTTTGTTGTGAGCCACCATGGAGTAGTAAACGGCAATTCTGTTCTGTTTGTTGAACTGGAATGGATAAAAATGTTAACTTTTCAACGCTGTCTATTAATGTATTGAGCAGTTAACAGCTGACGTGTTTGTCCATAAATGTGTGCATGTACTACGTTCTGGTAGAAGCTGTTTAAAAATCACGAAAGTTCTTATGCTAGGGCAACTGTGTTCAAGCCAACCTTTCCTGCATGTTGTGTTTGCTCTTGTATAGTATTTGATTGGCGTACTGTATCTTTGAGTTCTGTTCCGCCCATTATTATTGGTCCATCGTCTATGGCTCTCGTGTAGTATGTGATTTCCTTATCACTGTCTCCCCCTGGAGGAATGTGTCCTTGTCAGTAATAGTTGTGTCTGTATATGGAGTGAGGACAAATTGCAGTATGCATGCAGGAGAACTTGTGTGTGGTACATGTGTGTGTTCAGGTCTCAATTTAAGGGATTAGCCACATGCCAAAGACTGCGTGGCACTCATCCAAGTCTCTGACGTATTTGAACGCAATTAGACAGTGCCATCCATGTACAGTTGTGGGTCTGGAGCGACCCGGTACAACAGTCAGTACTGTGGTACTGGACCTGTGGGGGGAGCAGTATTTGGGGAGTCGCCCTCACTTTGTTCCAGTTTACATACTGTGTACAGTATGGGATACTTGACCTGTGTACCTCTGTTTATGCTGCCCTCTGTTAAT